GCCACCTTCCTGGCATCAGGAGGCTAGAGAGCCATGTTTATTTTAGACCAAATTTTGAAATTCTGTCATCTATTTCTTATAGCAGTTGTTCTGGTTCTTACTATATATTTGAAGATTTTTGATGTTTAGCAAGCATGTTCATTTATGTTTGTGATATTCTCAACTGTTTTCTAGTGCCTTCAATACTTTGTTTAAAAATGAAAGTAGAACATGAACAGAACAATGCGCACTAACAGTTTGATGATTTCTAAAGTTAGTTCCAAACCTAAATTCCTCCCCACGTGACATTGTCATCTATGTTGATCCACTGTGCTTGTATCTGGAAGGGTCAGTTTGGCAATGATTCTTGGTGTTTGAAATCATATGATATAAATACAAGGTAAGTTAACATTGTTATCCCTGAATAAGTTGTGGGGTTTTATAAATTCAAGGATTATTATAGTGGAGATCTTGGATTACAAATAATAATACTTGGTTCATGATCAGTTAATACATATACTTAACGTGGGAAAGATAATGATATGACAGATAAGTTAAAAGAGATAAATTTACTCATTGGAGTTGTTAGAGGCCATTGGGAAAATCAATGAAAGTAAAATATTACCGGAAAAAAAAATCTTTTCATAAAAGAGAGCATGTATCGTGTCATAATTTGTACTGAAAAGAATTCTTTTATCATTTTCTATTGAACTAATTCTAATTCTTTGTACATGCTTTCTTTATGATCATTGTACTAAATAAGGGGATATAATTGTGTAGTTTTTTTTAACTTCTTTTTAAAAGACAAATCCTTTTCCACAATTCACTTAGAAATATTATCATCAACTTATATGAGTTAGTCCTCATTGCAAAAACACAGAATCCATTCTAAGTATATTTAACAGAATGGTTTATTTTATAAAATAAGATTCTTTTGTGTCAAAATTGGAAGATTTGAAGCACCTACTTCTGAGCTGAAACTTTTCAATTGAATCTTCTCCCTTCGGTCTCCTGGGAGAACTAACACATTTCACAGCGTAAAGAGGTCACTGGAGTGCTTTATAGATGTTTTCAAGTCTTGACTATTACAGAACAGCCAGGAAGCATGGAGTGGGGGTAGCTGATTCTTTCTAAATGTCTGTGTGGCTGCATGGACTTGGATAATGCTAGCTACAAGTGGGCCTGTATATATAGTTTTCCTTCCTAGTTGTACAGGTAGAAGTGATAGAAGGTCAGAGAACTATCTTACATGGATTCTGTTTAACAGACTTTGCTTTTTGCTGGTACCAGTTATCGTTTGTGAATCTTTTATCTTTTCTGACTTTTTAATTTAGAAAGGATAAAAACCACCCAGTAATATTCCTAATCATTGATACAATACCCTTAATTTCCCCAACTTTGGGTGCTACGTTGGACTAGTTGGATGGTGACTGAAGGCACATGAACGGGGTTGAACAGAGTAAGCTAGTTGCCACTAAATACTAGGTAATTATAACTTAGTTTCTTCATTATTAATTTTTTTCCCTGTCTTTTTTTTAAAAGATTTATTTTATTTTTATTGGAAAGGCGGATATACAGAGAGGAGGAGAGACAGAGAGGAGGAGAGACAGAGAGGAAGATCTTCCGACTGATGATTCACTCCCCAAGTGAACGGCTGGTGCTGCGCTGATCCGAAGCCGGGAACCAGGAGCCTCTTCCGGGTCTCCCACGCAGGTGCAGGGTCCCAAAGCTTTGGGCTGTCCTCGACTGCTTTCCTAGGCCACAAGCAGGGAGCTGGATGGGAAGCTGGGCTGCCGGGATTAGAACTGGCGCCCACAAACGATCCCGGGCGTTCAAGGCGAGGACTTAAGCCGCTAGGCCCCAGCCCTAAGTGTCTTTTAACTTTTATATTGCTTCTCATATATCGAATTCTATGATTAAAAAGAGCTAGCTTAGGTACCGGCATTTATAAGTTGAGTTGTTTTAACTCTTCAAGGACCTACTGCTTTTTTATGTGAAAATTTTTATTCTTGAGATAATTATAGAGTGGGAGTAGGGAGAGGAAGTCAAGAAAGAATGAATAGAGAAGAGAGACTGTTAGCCTTGCATTCCTTATACCATTCCCTAAGACTACAGTGACCAGCCTGGCCAGGCTGAAGCCAGGGGCTTCTTCCAGGACTCCTTTGTGGGTGCAGGGGCCCAAAGGCTTGGGCCATCTTCCACTGCTTATCTTTTGTCATTAACAAGGAACTGGATTGAAACTGGAGAAGCTTGGCCTCCAGTGGGCAACAATATGTGATGCCCTACATGCTATGCCATAATTCAGGCCACTACAATCTACTTCTTGCATGCAATTCCTCAACTAGATTTAATTTTAAATTTTTACTTGTTTATTTGAGAGACAGTGATACATTACTGTATTACAGTAGTACATTAATATCCTACATTGATGGCTGGAAGTTGGGAGGGCTGAAACCAGCAGACAGAAACTCAATCTTGGTCTCCCACATGGGTATCAGATATCCAATTCCTGGGGCCATCACTGTTAATATTTGGCTGTGCATTAGCAGACAGAGACTGGGTCCAGCAGTGGGCGTCAAGACCAAGGCTCTCCAGTATGGGCGTGAGCATCCTAGCCAGTGACTTAACCACATGGCTACCAGGTGTTTTTGTTTGTTTGTTTGTTTGTTTGTTTGTTTAGTTATTTGAGAGGAAGGGAGAAAAAGAAAAAAGGAGATGCAAAGAACAAAATGGTGGGAGGGAAGAAAGGAAAAGATGTCTTCAATAGATGGGTGAGCTAAAGACAGAAGCCAGGAATTCAATCCAGGTTTCCTACATGGGTGACAGGCATGCAGTTACATGAGCCATGACTGTTACCTCCCTGAGCCTGCGCTAGCAACAAGCTTGGGTCCAGAGCTGGAACTGGGTGTTGCAATGTGGCACATGGAATAACTGGCATCCTAATTGCCTTCACCATCTAAACTTTTCCTGTGATGGACAGTAATGGGAAAATAAAAACTTTATTTACCAGAAACACCCATAGAAATACTCATGCTTGAAAGGTAGTTGTACACTGGTTAATTAAGATAGCATATTCATTTTATTAATCCATTGTAAAAATGAAGCATTGGGTAGTCTTTGTTTTTATTTGGAATGTATTTGGGAGCTAGTTTTTTGGTTTTGAGTTTCTTCTTTTTGATTTGATAATGGAATTAACTGTAATGTAACATGATGTAAAGTTTATAGTTATGTCTTTTACCATGTACAAGTCAGAGAACATAGTACTCGGAGAAATGCAGTTTCTCAAACTGCATTTTAACACCTTAATTTATTGTGCAGATATTGATGAAAAGTAGTGAGTTAAGGGCTGTGTGCCTGTGTATGTGCTGAGGCACTTGAAAAAATTAATTAAAATATAATATTTATCGTGATGTAAAAAAATTCGAAATCATGCAATTTTTCAAAATACACATTTTTCATGAACTTTGGAGGAGTCCATGTGTGTATGTCATTTGCATAAAGATAACTTCTCAACATTTTACATATTTAAAAGATTCATCGACAAATTATTAAAGAATATTTTGTCGTTACTTTTACAAATAGCTTGGGTAAAATATTAAACTTACAGCAAGCAGGATATGTATGGTACTATGCACATTTACTAGGAATATGCCCATAGACATATGAATGTCAAAGACATTTTGCATCTTATTAGAGACACATTCAGGGATTAATTTTAAGTGATGGTGATTGCTTTTAAAACTCAGGATTACATTTACAGTGTCTTGAGAGAACATGCTGCCAGCACATGCCACTAAGCCTGAAATCGAGAGCACTATTTTAGAAATAAAGTAGTATTTCATTCTTGTTAATGGCTGAGTAGTATTCCATGGAATAGCTGTACCACAGTTTTTCATCCACTCCTCTTTGGATGGGCCCAACTAGAGACCATTATGCTCAGTGTAATAAATCAATCCCAAAAGGGTAAATATCACGTTTAACAGCCCTTTTAATACTTGCTTTTAATACTCTTTTTGCTTTGGCATTTTTGTTTTTATTTTCATTTCTTCAAAATAGTTTCTTTTCTCAGGCCCAACGTGATAGAATAGCAGTTAAAGTCCTTGCCTTGAATGCATTTGGATCCTATATGGGTGCTGGTTCTAATCCCGACAGCCCCACTTCCCATCCAGCTCCCTGCCTGTGACCTGGGAACAGTCAAGGATGGCCCTAAGCTTTGGGACCCTATATCTGTGTAGGAGACTTGGAAGAGGTTCCTGGCTTTGGATTGGCTCAGCTCCATCTGATGCGGTCACTTGGAGAGTGAACTATTGGACGGAAGTTCTTGGTCTCTCCTCCTCTCTGTAGATCTGCCTTTGCAATAAAAGTAAATAAATGAAAGAAAACCAACAGAATAGTTTCTTATTAAATTCCTTTCTTATTAAATTCTTCACTGACTTGTAGGTCACATTAGCATAATTTTCTCCAAGCTTGTTTTTCATTTTCTTTTTATTCAGCAACACATTGGTCATTCAGTAGCATGTTATTTAACTTCTGAGCATTGTAAATTTTTTGACTTTATCCAGTTGTTGATTTTGTTTTATGGCTTTTCATTTAAGGGGTTGTGTAGTAATTGTGTAATAGAGACTATTGTGTTGAGATGTGAAGATAGAATGCAGTATGCATTTCTATTTCCAAATCAAAGATGGACTCCCAATGAAACTGCTAAATGTGTTGTGACAATAGGAAATAAAAAATATTTTAAAATAAGTAGTTTGCTACTCTACACTCAGAGTTTTCTTCCTCATTCTTGTTGGTGTACATGTCTTTAATGATATTGTTCAGGGATGAGACAACAGAAATTTTGGGAGCCTATGATAAATTGTGTGAATCCTTAAACGCCAAGGATAGACAACAGAGTAGCATGTTTTTCTATTGGAGGATCTTTCCAGAAGTATTACAGCATATGATATGTTTCTGTTTAATTTATAATCTTCTCTTTGGCATAATCTCATTTAAGTGCCCTTGTCATTGCTGCCCCTCAGGAGGTCCTTGACACGAGGTTTGAGGGACAGGCCAATGTCATTCAGCAACTGGAACAGACCATTGAAGACCTAAGGACCAAAATAGCTGAGCTGGAGAAGCAATACACCACTGTGGACGTGGAACTGACCAGAGGCCATCGAGGGGTCGAGAATGGAGTGGCACCCTCAGAAGATGTCTGTCTTGAAGCACTCAGGTTAGGAGAAGAGGATATTCAGCCTCAAAGGATTTTACAAGCAAAATCAATACAGACGTCCCCTACAGAAGAGGGTGGGATTCTCACACTAGCTTCTGGGAATGCATTGCCTGAAGGGCCTCCAGGCCCAGCTGGGGCTGAGAGCGGGGCATCAGCTCTCTCATCTTCACCTCCTGGATTACAGACCAAGTTTTGTTCAGAGATTTCTTTGATTGTGTCTCCAAGGAGAATATCAGTACAACTTGATGCCCATCAACCCACACAAAGTGTGTCACAGACTCTGCCCCCTTCATCCCTTCTGCCATCCAATGGTCATGGACAGCCTGCATCTCCGCTGCCACATGCTTCTCTTCATATTGACTTGGAAGACAGTCATGAACACTCTGTTTTTGTAAACAGCTGTACCATCCCACACTCACCACTTTTGCCTTGCACAGAGTCGCCCAGCTCCATGCCTGGCCTGGGCATGGCCATGTCTCCACACCCGCCTTCCCTTGGCATGACAGTGCCTGCTCTGCCCAGTACAGCCATCCCCCCACCTCCTCCTCTGCCAGATACAGAAATGCAACTACACCCTCCCCCTCCTGTATCTGATAAGGGAGTATCCCTTCCTCCCCCTCTACCAGGTGTGGGGATACCCCCTCCCACCCCTCTACCAGGTGTGGTAATTCCTCCCGCCCCCCCTCTACCTGGTGTGGGAATTCCCCCGGCTCCCCCTTTACCTGGTATGGGAATACCTCCTCCCCCTCCTCTACCAGGTGTGGGGATACCCCCTGCACCCCCTCTACCAGGTGTGGGGATACCCCCTGCCCCCCCTCTACCAGGTGTGGGGATACCCCCTGCCCCCCCTCTACCAGGTGTGGGGATACCCCCTGCCCCTCCTCTGCCTGGTGTGGGGATACCCCCTGCCCCCCCTCTACCTGGTGTGGGAATTCCCCCGGCTCCCGCTTTACCTGGTATGGGAATACCTCCTCCCCCTCCTCTACCAGGTGTGGGGATACCCCCTGCACCCCCTCTACCAGGTGTGGGGATACCCCCTGCCCCCCCTCTACCAGGTGTGGGGATACCCCCTGCCCCTCCTCTACCAGGTGTGGGGATACCCCCTGCCCCTCCTCTACCAGGTGTGGGGATACCCCCTGCCCCCCCTCTACCAGGTGTAGGGATACCCCCTGCCCCCCCTCTACCTGGTGTGGGAATTCCCCCTGCTCCCCCTTTACCTGGTATGGGAATACCTCCTCCCCCTCCCCCTCCTCCTCTTTCAGGAGCTGGGCTTCCTCCCCCTCCTCCCCATCCTGTACCTGGTGCTGGCATTCCTCCTCCTCCTCCTTTACCAGGTACCGGGATTCCTCCTGCTCCAGCTCCTCCGCCTCCTGGGACAGGAATCCCTCCACCTCCTCCACCCCCTCTTCTTCCTGGTTCAGGCCCTTCACTCACCCCACAAGTTGGGAGTAGCACTTTACCAACACCGCAAGTGTGTGGATTTCTTCCTCCTCCATTGCCCACTGGCCTGTTTGGATTAGGGATGAATCAAGACAAAGGGAGTAGGAAGCAGCCAATAGAACCTTGTCGGCCCATGAAGCCTCTTTATTGGACGAGAATTCAACTGCATAGTAAAAGGTAACATGAGAGCAAGTGCATCTTTACGGTCTGTCAGTACGAGGAAAACTGTCTTAAAATTTAAAATTTTGGGGAAATTTGTAATTTAACTTGTTTAAGTGTAAAAGAGATAAAGCAAATAACATCTATATCTAAAAATATGTATATCAATGTATAAGGTATATATAATATCATTTATAGTTACTAAAATAAGTAAAAATAGATAGGATATATATATATATACATATATAAATACCTAGGATCTATTCTCAAAACACATGTCTAGTTGACAGTGATAACAGACTGCTATGCATGCCTATATCCCGCAGAAACTGTGTGCTTACATGCTCTCCAGAGTGAGTGGAGGCAGGCGAGCACAGACATTTGTAGCCAAATTAGTTTCCAAATGAGAATCTACTCTTTGCTTTCACAATTTAAATTTTTGACAAAAGCTTAAAATGTCAATTCTTCGGCAAACTGACTTTTAAACAATGGTGGTTGTTTCATTTAAAAGACGCAGCCTTGTGTTACTAGTCTTTTCTGTTTGCAGCAGTCTTTCTTAGAGAAACACCCTACACAAAAATACATGCAAATGTTTGTGTAAAGTAACTTACTTCTGAGGATTTCTTGACAGCTTTATGGATGATTGGTGACATAACGTGAAGTCATGAAATTATGAATAATGATGACCATCATATAAAAATTTTTTTCATTAGGTATGCTGGTAGCATTTTACGTATGTTTCTATAACCTGTCTTCCTCAGTCACTGGGACAGTGCTAGGATACTTGAATTTGGATTGCTTAGAAATGTAGGTTGGGAAAAAGCATACGCTTAAACTTTACAGTGCTTTCATGAGACTTTCAGTTTTTTTGTGTGTGATAGGGCACGAATTTAGACATAATTGTTGTTTATTTTTAAACAAGGCTCTTTTACCTCTTGTGTCTTAAAATACTGTTTATTAAATTATTCCCAAGAGGCAAGAATCTATGTATCTTGACTATTTTAAACCTTGCAGTTCATTCTTTGTGTATGCATCACCTTTATATGTTGGTGAACATTCTAAACTATATTCCAAACTCCTTCCTCCAGTTTCATGGAATGAGGTTTTGAAGTTTTGTTTTTGTTGTTTTGATTCTTTCAAAAAATTTTTTTTTGTGTTATACTGTATGAATGTGTAGTCACCATGGAGCTAAATATGAATGAAATGGTCGAAAGCCATGGTGAGAGATGTAATTTTGGAGACTTAATTTTTCAATCTATGAATAACCCACAAGACTGATGAGTAAAGTTGTGTGACAGCTACCAAGCATTTCTTGCCTTCCTAACCCATACCAAGAGGGATTTTGCTTGTATGTTCTTATTCAATGAGTGCCTTCAAAACTGAGAATTCCTAGAAATTATTCCAATGCAAAGTTTCATTCTATTTGGATGGTATTTTAATTTTATCTTCAAATTGACAAAGCAATGTTTTGTCCTCTTTTTATCTTTCCTTTCCTTTTCTTTGTACCACTCTTAGAAGGTTCTGCTCCTCATCCTTCCTTCCTTCCATTCTGTTTAAGCTAGCTACATAGTTTAATTCGAAGGCTCTTTCATTGTTGTTTGCTTAACTTTAGAGATTCCAGTCCTTCACTTATTTGGGAAAAAATTGAAGAGCCATCCATAGATTGTCATGAATTTGAGGAGTTATTTTCTAAAACTGCTGTAAAGGAGAGAAAGAAGCCAATTTCTGACACCATCTCAAAGACAAAGGCTAAACAAGTAAGTATTCTCGTGCTTTTGCGAGTTGGACAGTATTTTTGGCATAAGTGTTAACTTTCATTAGAGAAAAATCCTTGAAATAGTTCTGGGCTATGGAAAGTTCCACAGATCTTATGTAAAGAGCAAAGGTTAGAATTTTAGAACATGTGGTTCAGTACAACTAGCCAAATGGAATAATAAATAATCCACTCCAACAAGTGATAATGCCCTGACTTTTGTTTGTAATTTGGTGATGCGCACACACACACACACGAACACACACATATATATATATTTTACAAAATTTGAGCTATTTGCTTCTTTGTAGGATTAGTTATCTAGAAATAAATTTTAAGCTGATAGAAAGCCATTTGAGCGTTAGTATGAATGGAAAAATGAGAGAACGGAAAGTCAAACAAGTCTGTCAATTTTAGTAAGTGATATTGTGTTTGGAATCTTACCACATTATCATGGAAGCAGAGGCTATTAGAATCCAGCTAAACAAATATTGAATCCATTTTTCCATTTCCATTTCCTTTGATCCAACCTGTGGCACTTGAGTTAGAAGAAGAAAATATGGTGCGTTTAGGGAACATTTCCAAGCAACATTCTTCATTTGCACATACTTGGGGCCTGAATATAAAACTATACTGTAAATTCTCAAAGGTGTCATTTAGGAAGGCACAGTAAAACCTCACAATAATGAGCTTGTGTCTGTCCTTTACCCTGAACTGGGGAGTGGATACATTCTTTAACTTCTGCAGAGTAGTGATAAGAGTTCAACCAGGCAAAAAAGGAAGAAAAAAAAAAGTGGCCAGCAGTGCAGTCTTGAAAGGCAAGAATGGAGAAATAGGGCCCATGTTCTCAGTAATCTACTGGCCTGGCCTTCTCAAGTGTGTGCCAATGACTTGTGTCATTCCTTAAATTTTTGCCTCTAATCTGAAAGTCTGGACTGTGCACATGGCTCAGAGTTGTTATCATGGATATTTATTTCAAAGCAAAATAACTTCTAGGAGATGGACACTACCCAGTCCCACCAAGAATGTGTGGATTTCAACTGAACAGTTAGACCTCTAAAGTCCATAGGTAGAACAGTAGGCAGGCTCAGCCATACATTGCATCCATTGTAGAATGATGAAAATCCACACGTGATGCAGTTGAGTTTTTCAAAACCACTTTACTGCATTATAACCCTGTAGCTGATGACTTAGATCAGTGACCATGGAAAATGAGACAGTAACAGGGATGTTGTGTTTCCATTCCCAGTGTTTGGGAAAGGAATAAGCCAGCTGTGTAAAGGAGGAACATTGCATAAATATCTGGCTGTCGTCAGAAGTGATTAAAAACCAGAAAATGATTTGTCATAATATTAAGTGCAGTATGGCAGTGTTAAAGAGAAGAGATGTAAATGAAAAATTCTATTTTCTTTGGCAGAGATGAATATTTAAAACACCCCCCCCCCCGGTATATTTGTGTCTAGTATACTAACCCTGAGTTGGCATCTCACCTGTGTATTAGATACCAGGAAACAGTAAAGAATTTGAATAAAGAATACGGACAAGGAGACTAGTTAAGCAGCCAGCACTGGCCCTTGACAAATGGACAGGCGTGGTGTAGGCTATCTCTTGTTAAGGGACTAAATGTCTTAACAAAAACAAACCACACCCTCTCCCAGTGCCATTTTTTTTTTTCTTTTGGGTAAAGGAATATAAATAATGAAGTTTTCTTACAAGTTACTTGTGACTATGGGATTCCAACTTCTAGTTGATGTCATTTTCAAATTTTACATTACTCAAATGTCATTTTGTCCCAATCATCAAAATTCAAGAATAGTTAGCACATGTTAGCCTATTGGCAGCTAAGCAGTGTGGATGTATTGAATGTTACCATAGCATATTCATTCCACTTTGTCATTGATATGTTGCATAGACTTGCCAGAGTAATAGTTCCGATTCAGTTGTAGTGATGCTTTGTTGACTGGCCGTTTCAGCTGGTGGACCATTCTCCATCATGACTCTTGATAAGTTCTTTAGCATCTCTTTGGCTTGGTACTTGCAATCTGCTTTTGGAAGGAAAAATGATTTTTTTTTTCTGCGTGCTGGAGAAAAAATTTTAAAGGGAAATATGACTGAATAAACATTTTAATTTTATTTGCTTGTTTTGGAGTAAAAAAAAAATCTATCCATTCAGTTTGCTTCAGAACGTTGTTAAGGGAAATGTATTTTCAGATGTATGCAAATAGTTCCACTTTTTCTGGGAAATATATACCGCTCATATGTACAGACATTCTGGTACTTCATGATTCGTTTCCAGTAAAACTAATAGGCTTTAAAGTGGTGTGGCACATATTTATGGAGGTATTTCAAGCAATTCTTATATACAATGGAAATTGGAAGTTTTGTTTTTCTTTTCTTTAAATATTTAAAAGTAGCCAAATAATTTTTCTGTGATCTGTCTCTCTCTTAAAAGTAGCACTCTAGTTAAATGTGCTGGTATTTAATGAACTGCCTGGGCTGTTGTGCTGTTACAGCAGGGACAACTTCGGTGTGATCGCACTAAGATTGCCTTGCCCGGCATATTGCCATTTCCACAAGGAAAAGGGGTTATTCCACGAACACCCAAAAAAAGTAGTGATGATGAATATGTGTTTGTTACAATCCTTGCTTCCAAAGAACTAGAGGCAAGCATTTATTTTTATTTTTCTCATATTAAATATATATGAATTTATTATGTGATCATTTCTCTCTTATCCTTGTAATTCTCTTTCCTTCTTCCTTTCCCTCCCTCCCTCCCTTCCTTCTCCCCCTCCCTCTCTCTTTTGAGATATTACACATAGGGAGATTAGGAAGGCAAATGAGGGTTTATTGGAACTTGAGTTGTCATAGTTCTTTGTCATTTTTGTACATCTGAGACTTATTCATTATAATTATATGTTAACCTGCTCACTTAAAACAACAATCATAGCCCTTGCGGAATAAACAGGATAATAAGACAACAATCTCATTTGATGCCCATGTGTTTAAATGTCAGGACACAAATACTCTTGTGTGCTTGTTAGGAATGCTCAAAGTCTCTATTTAGGATAACCCCATGGTTATGAACATGTCAGAGTATGGAAAGGCTTTAAAAGTTTCTGCACATGTGCCTGGCATATAGTTAAAGTGCCGCACCTCTTTCTTTCCTGGATAACTCAGTGATTAGGAACATTGATAAAGATCTTGAGTCACCTGAGCATCTTATGTGGTAAAGAGATGAAGTTTATCCTGGAATTAGGACCAAAAAATTGAGAGAGTTTATTTTGCAAAGATTCTGATAATAGAGAGCATTTAAAAAATATTGGCTAATTCTGTGTCCCCTGAGCTCCTTAGCAAATAATATTTGGCTCATGTATTAAGTGCAACAAGAATAATAATCATAGAAACCACATTGTGCCCTGTGTTTGTCATGTGCTGGTTATTGTTCTTAGCACTGTAATAACTCACTTATTCTTCATCCTCTATGAGATAGACATCATCATCCCCAGGTCAGGGATCAAAAAGCCGAGATATAGAAGAGATCAATAATTTTCCCAAGCTGGTAAGGGGAAAAGCTCAGATTCAAATTGGTCAGAACCTATGTTCTTTCTCAGTTATATGTGTGAGTATGAATAATACAGTCTTTTATTTATGCCATAAGACATAGTTTTAATTTTCAGTTTTTATATTTATTAAAATTTTTTTGTTAATCTGCTTTTGACAGGCAGACCGGTCCATACCGATGTCTTCCATGTGTAGGTTCACTCCCCAAATGTTCACAACACCCAGGTCAGGCTCAGGTTGAACTGGGAAATGGAAAACTCAGTCCAAGTTTCCCATATGGACATTAGGCACCAATGTAATTGAGCATATAACTGGGAAGCTGGATTCGGAGTTAACCTCATCATATAGCTATAGCTATGGACATCCCAAGTGATGCTCTAACTGTGTGCCAGCTACCTGCCCCTGAGTGCTCAATATTTAAATGACTCTAGTTGCACTTAATAAACTGTGTTGAGACACTTTTAAAGCCTTTTCCATACTCTGACAATTTTTTTCAAGTACCTTAACTATGAAGCCACCAAACAGGACATTTGTCCAGAAAAATAAGCTTGTCAAAGTGATGTATACTTTAAATATATAAGCCTGTGTAGGTAGTTAAACATGAGGTCAGCTTGCTTATGAGGCAGCAACTATGGTTTAAGTCCACTGAATGCCAACTGATAATTTTTTTAAGAATTATTCATTTTTGCTTGAAAGGCAGGGTTAGAGTTAGAGAGAATGAGGGAGAGAGGGAGGGAGGGGGAGAGAGAGGGAGGGAGGGGGAGAGAGAGGGAGGGAGGCGGGGAGAGAGAGAGAGACACACAGAGAGAGAGAGAGAGAGAGAGAGAGATTGACTCAATCAGTTGGCTATCTCCCCAGTTAGCCTCAGTGGCTGAAGACTGGCCAGACCAATACCGGGAATCAGGAGACTCTTGGGTCTCCCACATAAGTGCAGAGACATGAGGCATCTGCTGCTGCTTTTCCCAGGCCATTGTCAGGGAGCTAGATCAGAAGTGGACCAGCTGGGATTAGAACTGGTGCTCATGTGGGCTGCCATTGCCACAGGTGGAGCGTTAGCCTGTTATGCTGCAATATTAGTCCCCAGCTGGTATATTATTCTACACCCCATGACAGAAAAGGAACCATCTTTGTAAAATATGCCTTGAGGAAACAACATCTAATCATGCTTAAAAGATCTGTTCAAAGAGCATGTTACCCAAAATGTAAATTTTCACACTGAAGTTAACAAGAATGAGTACAAATAATCTGTTATTGTTTACAATCTGTACATGAAATTTGCATAACCATTTAATATGACACAATTGGATCTCTGTGGGTTTCTCCTATTTATCATTTTAAAATGCTCTGCTCAAAGAGTTGGAAACAAAAACTATTTATGATAGTTAAGTATTTGTTGGTTCAGCCTCTGGATATATGGTGAGAAAAATCCTTAAATCTCCTCTT